GAGCGGCGCGAGCGCGCGACGCGCGCAGCTCGGCGGAAGCGACGCCTCGCGGCCTCGCGCAGCGCAGTGTCGTGAGATTGCGCGCTTGTCTAAACGCGCCCGCGCCGGCGAGGGCGACGCGCGCGGCGGGGCCAAGCGCCCCCGCGCCGGCCCCGGCGAAGCTAAGTTACGCTTTTTGCAATATGCAGCTGGCTTGGGTCGCGAGGGCTTCGCGCGCGAGTCTTCGGTGAAAAATGACGTTCGCGCGGCCGCCGACTGGGCTGCGTCCGCGCCGGCCGAAGAAGCGCAGCTTCCCCTGTCGCACACGCGCTGCGCGTCGCACAGGCCACTGCCTATCGCGAGGCGGCCGCGAGGCGTCTTGAGAGGATGGGTGCGTAGCTCAAGGCTTCTGGCGAGTGCGTGCGATGGTTCGACGGCTGCGACCCCGCAGTCGCACGGGCGCCCGAGTCCGTCAATGGCCCGTTTCTGCGCATGTTAGCGCGCGAATGCGACCACCCAGATTCCGAGGCTGGCGAGCTTTCCCGACAGGCGAGGCCGCGAGCGGCCTGACGGGGCGCGAACCGCAGCGCCGCGGCAGGGGGCCCCTCTGGCCGGGGTTCCCCCTCGCTCGGGCGCTGGCGACATGCGCGACCACAAGCGCTGCATTTCGATTGGCGAGCTCAAGGCAGGCGCCTCGATTGCGCGCGGGGCGGGGCCGGCCTCTCGTTATTTTGGCGCGGCACAGGCGCCAAGGCATCCGCCGAAAGACTTCTCAAGCGCGCGAGACGGGGCCAGCGCTCCGACGCGCGTCTCGAGGCCGCGGGGTCGGACGCGGCGCTGGGGCGATCGACGATGCCACGCGACGCGGCGGCCGAGCCGCCGCCAGAAGGGGCCGTCGTCATCCCGCGTTTCGGCGCCCCGCAAGGATTTGCGGAGGACGGCTCCCCCACGGCGAGCCGAACCGGGCGCCGGCGCTCAGTCGCCGCCCGTTCCGCGGCAGATACGCTCGGTTGACGGCTGTAGCGTTGTCGATCTCAACAGGGCAACGTAGCCCCAGGCCAACCGGCACGCGCCGTCAGGGGTGCCAGCCCGCGCGTCGCCGCGTGCAGGAGAGCTGGCGACACGACGCCATCGACTCGCTGTTCGACGTCGTTCAGATGGTGCACGAACTCTCGGGTGGCGAGGAGGTCTCTTTATTTAAAGCTGACATCGACGCGGCTTTTCGCCGCGTGCCGCTGCGCCCGGGGGGCCGCGACTTCGCGTGGGTGGCCTTTCGCGCACATTCACTCATCATCCCCAGTCATCGTCACCACCCATCATCACTATACACACATACTCACATTGATGGAAAGCTCGGGCGGGAGCCCCCTCCCTATGGACCTGGCATTTCACGTTGGCAATCCGATCGTGTCATCGGCGAATCTACCTGGCATAGCACTTGAGCACCCCAAACGGGCACACCGCGAGGATGTCTCAAGCGGGGGCCTCGTCTGTGAGTGACTTGACCGGAAAGCTCGAGCGGGAGCCCCTTCCCTATGGGGTCCGCATTTCACGTTGGTAACGCGAGCGGGGCATCAACAAATTCTACTTGGCACAGCATTTGACTACCCCAAGAGGGTAAATCGTGAGGATGTCTCAAGCTCGTCCCGAAGTGAAGCGCTAGGAAATCTCAGGCGGGGGGGCCCTCTTTATGGGGCTCGCGTTTCACGTTGGTAATCCGAGCGCGTTGCCGGCAAATTTTACCAAGCGTAGCACTTGAGCACCCCAAGGGGCACATCGTGAGGATGTTTCAAGCGAGGGCCCCGTGTGTGAGTCAGCTGCCAGGAAGTCTTAGGCGGGAGCCCCCTCCCTATGGGGCCCGCGCGCCATTTTGGTAATCAGAGCGTGTCGTCTGCAAGTTTACCAATCAACATTTAACCACCCCAAGGGGGCACATCGTGAGGATGTCTCAAGCGGAGGCTCGTTCGTGAGCAGATACAAGGAAGTTTCAGGCGGGAACCCCTCCCTATGGGGACCGCACTTCATGTTGGTACTCCGAGTGGGTCAATGGCAAAGCTTACCAGGCATAGCGTGAGCATTCCAAGGGACAAATAGTTCAGGATGTCTCAAGCGGAAGGTTCGTCTGTGAGTCAATCGCCTGGACGTTTCAGGCGGGAGCCCCCTTCCTATGGGGCCCGCGCCTCATGTTGGTAATCCGAGCTGATCGTCGGTAAATTCTATCAGGCGCAGCGCTTGAGCAACCCAAGAGGGCACATCGTGAGGATGCCTAAAGCGGGGCCCCCCCTCCATATGGGGCCCACATGTCATGCTGGTCATTGGGTTTATTCCGGCCTGAATCTGGCCTTGGTAACCCAATAAGTTTGTAGAAATGTCAGCAAAACAAGTGGACACTAATTACTTGTTCGGCGACCTCATTGACGGATTGGAATCCCGCCAATAGTGAACATTACGTTTTTCTCTGCGGCATCCGCCGTACATCAACAACGACGACGACGACGACGACGACGACGAGTACGAGTACGAGTACGATTGCGACCACGATACGACTACGGCTACGTCTCGGACCACGACTACGAGTAGTAGATTGTCGGCGAAGACAGTGTCGATCTATATTGCAATCCTCTTACCAACGTGCTCAGCATTATTCTGTCGTGCAGGGTAGCCCCAGAAATCATTTTTCGCTGGGAGGAACAACATTATCCAGCGCGGCGGGCACGAGTGGGAAAATAATCTCTGCCGCGACGACGACGACGACGACTACGATTACGACTACAACCACGATTACAATCACGATTACATCCACGGCCACGATGACGACTATAACCACAACTAGCCATTGATTCCTAGTGCCACCTCGGGAGAGTGCTCACATATCCTTTCGCGCGTGGGGTCGCCAACAATGGGGTTCTTCCCTGGGAGAAAGAACCCCCAACATCATCCAGCCGCACAACACTGTAGGGAAAGTAATCTCCACCGCGACGACGACGACGACGACGACGAGGGGGAGGAGGACGATGAAGAGGAGGAGGAGGAGGAGGAGGAGGAGGAGGAGGAGGAGGAGGGGGAGAAGGAGGAGGAGGAGGAGGAGGAGGAGGGGCGAATTGATCCCCCGCCGAGAGAAATGGGGGGGGAAACTAAACTAAGACGCGTAGAGGTTGTAGGGTCCCCACCTCCATGTTGGAATCCGAGCGGTATCATCCAAATCCGAGCGGGATCATCCATGTAGGCTCCACAGGCTTGAATCTGGAGGAATGCTCGAGCGGGAGCCCTGCCAGTGAGCAAATAGGGAGAAAGTCTCGAGCGGGAGGCCTCGGAAAGCTTCCGAAGGTCACAGGAACCCCCAGGAGGCCTCAAGAAGCCACACGGAGCCTCAGGAGGCCCCAGGAGGCCGCAGGAGGCCGCACAGCCACCAAGGAGCCTCGGGAGGCCCCGGGAGCTTCTCCAGGAGGCCAAGGGAGGCCCCCGGAGGTCCCAGGCGTACCCCGGGCCCCAGGAGGTCCAGGGAGGCCCCTGAAGGCTCCTCCTCCTCCTCCTCCTCCTCTTCCTCCTCCTCCTCCTCCTCCTCCTCCTCCTCCTCCTCCTCCACCCTCCTCCTCCTCCTCCTCCTCCTCCTCCTCCTCATCCTCCTCCTCCTCCTCCAGGAGGCTCCAAGAGGCTTCAGGTTTCAGCATGAGGCCCCAGGAGGAGGCAGGAGGCACACGGAGGAGGTCGCGCCAGGAGCCCCCAGAGGCTCCAGGAGGCAACAGGAGGCCCATTGAGGCCAACAGGCGGGACGAGGAGGAGCAGGAGGAGGAGGAGGAGGCAGGAGGAGCAGGAGGAGGAGGAGGAGGTGGAGGAGGCAGGAGGAGGAGGAGGAGGAATAGGCAGGACGAGCAGGAGGATGAGGACGAGAAGGAAGAGGAGAAGGCAGGATAAGAAGGAGGAGATGGATGAACAGGAAGAGGAAGAGTCCCAGGAAGCTCCAGGAGCCCCGGGAGGCCCCAGGAGGCAGGAGGACCAAGGAGGAGGACAGGGGCCAGAGGAGAAGAGAAGAGAGGATGAGGAGATGGAGAAGGAGGAGGCGTGAGTAGGAGGAGGAGGAGGAGGAGGAGGAGGCATGAGTAGGAGGAGGAGGAGGAGGAGGAGGAGGAGGAGGAGGAGGAGGAGGAGGACAGCGAGGACAACGAGGACGACGAGGAGGAGGAAATGGAAAAAATGGAGAAGGCGGAGGAGGAGGAGGAGGAGCAGCAACAGTCAGGAGGAGGTGGGCAGGAGGCAGGAGGTAGGAGGGGGCATGGGGAGGAGGGGGAGGAGGAGGCAGAAAGAGGCGGAGGCAGGAGGATGAGGCAAGAGGAGAGGGAGGAGGCAGGTGGGTGCAGGAGGAGGGAACAAGAGGACATCCTCAGGCAAGCTAAACATCTTCTCATATGGGATCCTTCCGTTGGAGCATATTTGCACGACGGATCGCGGCCTCGTGAGGGGGGGGGACACGCAGAAGTCCGCGGGCAGCACGGGGGCCTCAGAAGATCACCGAAGCCATACCAAGCGGCCTTTGACATGAAGGGAAGCGCCTCCGGCGTGCCCCGTGGGCTCTGGGGCGTAACGAACTGCCTGCATCACAGCGCCGCCGCTGCATCCCGGAGGCGTCGGCGATGCAGCGCGCGCTTCCCCGACGCCATCTACTCGGATCCCACTTGGGCGGCCTCCAAGGGGGGGGGGGAGGAGGAGGAGGAGGAGGAGGAGGAGGAGGAGGAGGGAGGAGGAGGAGGAGGAGGAGGAGGAGGAGGAGGAGGAGGAGGAGGAGGGGAGGGTGGAGGAGGAGGAGGAGAGGAGGGAGGAGGAGGATCGGCGATGCGGCGCGTTTCCCCGACACCATCTATTCGGATCCCACCTGGGCGGCCTCCATGTGAGAGGCTGGCCCGGGGAAGGCCATCGGGTTCCAGGACCCTCCTCCTCCTCCTCCTCCTCCTCCTCCTCCCCCTCCTCCCCCTCCTCCTCCTCCTCCCCCTCCTCCTCCTCCTCCTCCTCCTCCTCCTGACGAGGCCCTGGGGTTCCCGACCCAGTACGACGTGGACTGGTCCACGGTCGGCCCCCGCTTCCAGAGGCTGCAGGCGCGCTTCGAGGAGCTGGCGCGGCAGGGCGCCGAGGTGCCGGCCGTCGAGGCCTACGTTCAGCGGTGCATGGAGGCGGCGAGGGAGCTCCGAGAGCCGCTCTCGCGCGCGGAGCACCTGCTCCGCCTCCGGGCGGCGCGCGCTCCGGACCGCCTCGCCGAGCCCGCTCCCGAGGTTCGGGGGCGGAAAAGAGGGGGGTGAAGACTAGGGGGGGGTGGATATCATGGCGGGGGCCATGATATTTCCCCAGATGTCATGGCGCCTCTTCTTATTTCATTGCGTCTCTGGCCCTCCCGCTGGGCCGCGCACATGCCGCCGGTCATGATTGGCGCCCCCCCTCTTGGACACCCCCCTCTTGGCCGCTCCCGAGAGGTGAGAGCCCTTGAGGACCAGGCGCTCTCCGCGGAGGTCGAGGACTCCGCCGCCCTCGCGCGGGTGATGGAGCGGAACGCGGAGGGGCGCAGGCTCGCGGAGGCGCGCCTGGTCGAGCTGCTGCAGGGGGAGCAGTGGGAGGGCGCCCGGCGCTGCCTGGAGGAGGTGTGGCAGCGCGACAGGCTGCGGCGGAGACTGGAGGACCTGGCCATCGAGAACTGTGAGGCCGCGACGCCCGCCCACTCCTCCACGGTGGGTGGCGTGGAGTGACGGGTGGCGCCGTTGCCTCCCTCGGAGCCAGCAGCGTGGCCGTCGCGCGTCTTGCGTCCAAAGGTGTGACGCGGTTGTATTGGTTCTTGAGGGTGTTCGTGTCCAGTCGTTGGGAAGGTGCACATTGCTCACTCGATCTGCATCCAGGAGCGCCGCAGTCTGAGCAGGAAACGGCGGAGGAAGAAGACAACCAGGGAGAGTAAAAGGCGGAGAAGGGAGGTCTCCTTGACAATGCTCGCGATTGAAGATGATGGATTGTGGGATGTTGAAGTGTTCATGGGCTTGTATAAGCTCGTTCCAATATCGCGTGACTCGGTCGAAAACCCGGCCCAGTCCACATAATGCATCATTCAGTTCAGATTCCTACGAATTTCGTCTTGCATCAGAAATAGGCTAGGCGGATGATGTCACGTTCATTATGCCCCGCTACAACGTGATCCCGAATTGCATTGACCAATGCATCTCCAGCTCTTTGTCATACGTAGTCGTTGTGGGGTCATCCGCGCTTGCTCCCCGCAGCCCACAGACGGTAAATAGATCTGGGGACAATGTTATCAGGAGGTTTATGATTTTGTTGGAAACATAACACCTTGATTCCAATACCGACAAGAAGAACTAGCGTTGTGCATTTTTTGTCGTAGGAACTCTATCAGGATTGTTTTGGGGGACAAACACATGTGAAACACTTTCAAACACCCAAGGGGCCGCTCGAAAAATCGATATGATCTCCGCTCAGCCCTAACGGGGCGCTCGCCTCAAATGGGGGATGGGAAGACACGGGGGCAGAACAAGGAGAGGAGAGAGAGGGCAGAGGCGTTCGTAGGATCTCTGAGGCTCGGGTCCCATGGGGACCACGCAGGAGACTTTCTTTCCGCGTAACATAGGAATTCAGCCAACGCAGATCCCGCGAGGAGCCAATGCCCTCGGGCTCCCCGAAAACAGCAGAGGATTCACTGCACAGAGCATAATGGTTTGAGCCACCAAGTAAGTGATGTTGGGCTCCCATTTGGCTTCCCAAATACGAGAATGAATTGAGCCAAAAGCAAGCATGGGCAAGTGAAATCAAACAGGAGCAAGTGAAACCAACGTGGGCCGCTCAATTCGCGAGTGGTATCGAACATGAGCAAATTGATTTCTGGGTGTTCCCGAGTCAGTTCGGTTCAAGCCAATGTTTGGCTATGAGCGATCCCGACATCAATGTAGATGAGTGGCTGGCCGCCGTTGGAGGCGAGTCCAGCGATGACGAGAGCCTTTTCGAGGCAATGTATTTGGATCCGTGCCTGGTGGATTCGCTCGGGCATGCTGAGCCATGGCGTGGACGAAATGCTGGCTGCTTGGGCTTCCATGTCGAGCGACGGACTGCATGGAGACGGTCGGCCAGACGCGGCTCGCGCTGAGCTGGATGCCGCAGTGGTGGCAGCGGTTCCCGCTCTTGCCGTGGACGAGCCCCCTTCTGCATGCGAGCCACCTGGTCCAGCTCCCCAGCTGATGCCATCACCGCTCGCGCTGCCAGAGCACAGCTACGGACGATTACAGAGCATGCGAAGCGCCTTGTCTCGAATGCGTTTGTTCGAGTCCGCGGTCTGCCAGCCCTCGGCGATGGCGAGCTGGAGATTCCACAGGCCTCCGAGGGCCTCGAGGGGCCCGCCGAAGAACCAGGGCCTGGTGGCGCCCACGGCCACGAGCTCGACGGCCAGTCGCCTCTCAGAGGAACGCCAGAGGTCTTCAGAAACATCGTATATTAAATTCGGACTGGAGGCATCGACCACATTACAAAGATGCGGAACTTCTCGAGGGCTGCGGATGACATTATATAGAGCATTCCCAACGTTTAGTGGCATCCAGAAAAGTGTTGCTTCAGACGGCTTCGCGACTGGCATGTGCTTCATTGTTGCTGAAGTTGCGCGAGAGATAGACGGCTTCGAGCGACGGCATGCATTCTTCGCGTTTTCTCGAAGTTTTGGCGCTACGGCGAGACCCCTTTTAAATGGCATCGATCGACTACGGTGCACTCTTTGGCCTGCCAGACAAGGTCTTGAAAAAAAAAGGCTGCAACAGCTACCATCGAACATTGTCAACGGGCGCGCCGACAGGGACACTGGAGTTGCGAAGTTGTTGCAGACAGAGGTAGTTGTCGGAGCATTGGTTCATATGGAATCGAAGTGGAGCTTCTTCACTCGGAGGCCTCTGTTGCCTCTGCTGCGCACGGCCAGGACAAGGGCAACAAAATATTACGTGTGTGCTGATCTGCTGCAGAAATTGCTGGATTTAGAATCCGATGGCGCCAAGTTCCAGAGAGTTCAGCGCTGCGTTGCCAGTGACAGCGACGTCGCCATCGAGAGGACTGAACGGGCGCGAGCAGCAGGTGGGCCACGCCGAGATCGCGAGCAGCCATCGTTTCGCCCACCAGCGTTGCAGCGCAAGAACGGATGCGTGAAATTTGACGAAGCCAACGGTCTCCACATTAAAGTGCTCGTCATTGTCATTGACATATCAGAACCGTTTGAAATTGTTTCGCGGCGCAGGTCGCCGCATTCTTAGCGCTGCAACTAGTCGCCGCGCTGAGCTTCACGCCCGTGAGTCTTTGCGGAACGGCCTGCCTTAAACCGAAAATTGGCAGATACGCTTGAGAGCGCTTTTCGGAGGAATGGGTCGCCGGCGATATTCAGTGGCCCGCGGAAGGAACGCAGGCGCATAGTCGCGCGCCGCGCTGGGCGAGAGCGACGACGCGATCCCCGAGGACTTCGCGACCAGGGGAACCGGAGCTCCTGCGCGGAACGGTCCTGGATCATTTCCCTGCCGCAAGTGGAAATATTGTGAAGATGCCGCCCAGCGGCGCGGCATCATGGAGCTGGCGTTCGGCGCGCTCTCGCGCGCGCATGCGGACTGCGCTGAGACCGCGCGCAGCGTTTCCGCAGGCGCCGCAGCAGAGCCGGACGCCGGCGGCGGCGACTTGCCGCTGCCGCTGCGCCTAGAAGGCGCCCGCGGAGATGGCGGCGACGGCAGCGCTGACGACGGCTTCGACGCCGCGGCGGGGCCTGAGGTCAGCGGCGCCAGGGGGCGCCCGGATTCCGACGTCGAGGAAAAGAAAGAACGAGAACCGCACAGGTTTCGATTGCCGGCGCGCGCATGGATTAAGTTCGGGAATGTCATCGCTGAGAGCGTAATTTTCTTCAGCGTTATGTTTCCGCGCGCCCAGGCCGTGGAGGCGCGGCCTTGCACTGCCGGTGAGAAGCGGGAGAATAAGGAGAGAATAAATATCAAGATCCAAGCTGCGCGCCAGGAGGGCCATGCCAGCGCCTTTATTGGTGCAATGCCGAAGCGAGAGCTGAGGCCCCCGCTGGCGTTCCACGGCGTCGTCGAGAGCGCATTCCTCGATCAGACTAGGGGACCGATGACGGATCCTGATGCTTGGGCGATGCTGCCAGCGTCGCATTGCACGAACTTCCGGCATGGGAAGGCGTTACCACGCTTCAACATGGTGCTTGCATCATGCGCGGTATGCTCACTGCTCACAAGAACTATCCGTATAAGTTGTTCGGGTTTCTGTCGGCCTGAGCTTGAAGCTGAAGATGAGCGACTTCGAGTGCGGGAAACGTTTGGACGAATGGTCGAAACAAATCGTTGCGTTCCACAACGCAGGCACGCCGTCTCCCATTGCCTTGGCCGACCTGCGGAGCTCGGCGCTCACCGCGACAGATGAGACCCTGCAGATCGAATGCCGCCATTAGAAAAATAGAATGTGTATTTTGGGCAGGTCCGTGCAACGACGAAGAGTTGATACGACTGGGTTGAATGCATAGAGGATCAATGAGCAGCCAGAGGCCTTGTCCAGAGGGCGGCGGGGACCTAGGGCCACCGCATGGGCACCCAGGGCCGAGCGTCGAGGCGCGCCTGTAGTTGCTGGTAGCGACGGCCTTGTCGATCATCAACATCTCGCAAGCCATCAGCTTGGGGCGCTTCTCGCGGTGAACAAACAGTCGGGCTCAGAGGTACTGCTCGCCCCGCGACGCGGGCGCTGTCCGACGCGCACTCGAGCATCGATGCTGAGAGCCCGCAGGAATATAAGGACTTGGCTGACTAAGCACACGAAGCGAGGGCGGCAGGGAACCCCAGGCCTCTCGGCGGCAGCGGCGCCCCTCAGCCACCTCAGCCACCTACTGTTTCTGCGTCGAGGCCGCGCCCGTCATCAGGAGCGCAGCCGTCGCCCCCCAGACCGCCCCAGCTCGTCAAGAGAGTCCGGCTCTCGCGGCATGCGATGCGGAGGCGTCGAGCTTCCGCGCTGGCTGCAGCCGACGCTGACGCAGCCAACAGCACTGCGTGGGAGGGGTCGCCGACTGGGCCCTTTGCTGGCCTGGCCACGCGCGCGCCTCTTCACTTTCGGCGAGATCGCGATCGCACTGGTGACTGGAAAGCTCCATTGGGATCGCGATTGTATTCGCTGTCTGCGAGGCCCCCGAACTACGGCGAGCTCGCGGAGCAAGTCGTGGCCATGGAGACGCGCGGGCGCCGCAGAGTTGCAGGTATTCTTGGGATGATTGGCGCTGCGCACGCAATGCGATGCTGAGCTGCGCGGAGCAGCAGCGCGCCCAGCGTCGCCGCTGCAGGGCCGCCCCCGCTGCGGGATCACTTGTACAGGGCTGCCCACCCTTGCTTGCGCGACGCAGCCGGGGGGAATTCTGAGCGCACCCAGGTACATTGGCACTGCGTCGAAGTCGCACCAGAAGAATACAGGCGACGCGGTGCCCGCCGCCCGCGGCGAAGCTGTCGGCTTGTTCACGGGAAGGGCCGCCGGCCCAGACTTCCTGGACCAGCTCGGGGACGCGGTGAGTTTTCTTCCCCTGCCACCTCGGGCATCTGAAGGCCAAGCCGCACAGGCTCAGCTGGGATAGCGTCGTTCAGCAGGGGGGGCGCTGCGCTGTTCGGGAAGGGCCTCGCAGGGCACTGTGCTGCTCGGGAAGGGTCTCGGCGGCATGCGAGAAAACGGAACGAGCGAAGGGGGCCGACGGTGGGGGATGCGCGGGCGTCGTCAGCGGGTCGCTCGATCCAAGCGCGGCGAGTAGTGGGGGGGGGTCGGCAAGCTAGCGGCATGGGGTAAAAACAATAACCCGTGTCTTCCGGGTTCATGCGCACAGGGAATTACAGCATGGGCGCGCGACAAACCAGAAGAGGAATCAGGAATATGGGTTTTTGGGGCACC